ATTAGAACTCCGGAGTTCTAATTCATTTTTTACATTTCATCCCATAATTTGACACATAAGTTTTGAGATTTATCTCAATCTCAACTGGTGTTAATTTGGACTCTAAACCCAAAGTCTATTAGTCAAGCATAAACAATATTGTAATTTGGATTACAATTTTATATGTCAAAAACAGGGGGTTTGTGGACAATGGATTCAAAACAGATTAAAAATTTAAATATAATATTTTAAGAAAAATAGATGTTTTCAAAATTTTGTAATGAATTGATTAATAATATTTGACGTTTTCTGAAAACTATTATTTACCATGTGTACATATTTTATAACATACTAAATTTGAAATATTTTTCACTACAGAAAATTACTGAGAGCATCGTATAAATGATTGAGACCGTCTCAATCTATATAGAGGCAACATCCAAACAAATAAAAATTTAAGAAATCCTTAAGATCTCTTAGTAAAAAGATTTGTAAGAAAAACACTTTTAACTTATTTTTTTACTTTTTTTTGCTGAAACTGATCATTGATCCAGAATATGCGGTCCTCTGATCTACCTCTAGAGTCGGGCCTGAAGTAACTATCAATCACATAGGATCGATCCTACCCCGKCGAATCGATTAAAACTGAGAGTGAGATTATAACCGATTAAACTGGTTTTAGAACCAGCAAATTCACATAGCAAAGAGTTATATCCCTATAGCTTAGAATCTCATCCTACCCTAATTGGATTATGGGCTTTTAAAATTACACTACTGACCCATTAAGAAATTCACCAATCTCTCGTTTTTGATTTTTGAATATTTTCAAGTTTCGATTATTCACTTCTTCGAGCGCGATAGTGGAGTAGAAGAAAATGGGATTGTTAAGCATCATTCGTAAAATCAAGAAGAAAGAGAAAGAGATGCGTATTCTTATGGTGTATGTCAGATTCCAAACTTTTCTAAATCTCCTTCGATCTACTAAGTATATACGATGATAAAAATTTCGATTTTTTTTTTTTTTTGGTAGTGAACTTGATAACTCTGGGAAGACGACGATTGTTCTGAAGATAAACGGAGAAGACACAAGCGTGATTAGTCCAACACTTGGATTCAACATCAAAACCATCAGTTACCAAAAGTAAAAAATCTCTCTTTTCAAAAAAAAAATTGGTTCAGGAATATCATCGAACAGGTTATAGGCAATGGTAATGGTTGTGTAGGTATACGTTGAATATATGGGATGTTGGTGGGCAAAAGACTATAAGATCTTATTGGAGGAATTACTTTGAGCAGACTGATGGGTTGGTTTGGGTTGTGGATAGTTCTGATCTCAGGAGGTTAGATGATTGTAAAATGGAACTTGACAATCTCTTGAAAGAAGAGGTATTAAAAACTGTCTCCATTTTTTTAATGAAATTGTTGTTTTTGGTGAAGAAATTGATCTTGGTTTTAATGGCAGAGACTTGCTGGGTCATCTTTGTTGATACTAGCAAATAAGCAGGATATTCAAGGTGCACTTACACCTCAAGAAATTGGTAAAGTAAGAGTTTTTAAACTTTAAAGACTATATATATAGAAACTCTCTTTGTTTTAAAAGAGTTTCTTTCTCAGCTTTAAGGAAGATTAGTAGATTAAGATCTGTGCACATTGTGTTATGTAATAAACTGAGTTTCATCTTCTGGCTTGTGAAGGTGCTAAATTTGGAGTCCATGGATAAAAGCCGACATTGGCAAATCATGGGTTGCAGCGCATATACAGGTGAAGGTTTATTGGAAGGATTCGATTGGTTGGTTCAAGACATTGCCTCCAGGATTTACATGCTTGACTAATCTTTGTGTTTCCCAACTACAACCGCATTGTGCAATGTCATGTTCGTCTTGACTATTTGCAACCTGAAGAGCCTGCTCAAGTCGGCAATCTAAGCTTTTCTTTCAGTCATATTGTAATGATGATTCTACAAACAATACGTTTGAAGACAAACTCTTCTCATTTTGTTTTAACTGAAAGAGACTTAACCACAAAATGATGTTTCATACATCCCAAGTAAAACTTATTGATAAGCAAATCCAAAATCTATCACCAAAAGAGCTAAGTTCTCTGCAAAGTAAGATGGGAGAAGCATACAAAAAAAAAAAATAGAGAGAGATCATTTCGACTTCTTTCCTTGTTTCTTCTTAACGACTTCGTCGATGTACATTATGCCTTTGCCTTTATAAACTTCAGGAGGTTTGCAACTCCGAACTGTAGCAGCAAACTGATGCACCCTATGCTTGTCAATTCCGGTGCAACAAACCACATTGTTCTTGAAACAGAACACACGAACCGCCGGAGGAACTGCAAGTTCGACTTCGTGACTGTAACCCAACTTGAGGTATAAGAAACGCCCTGCTTCCTCAGCTCTAGCTTTGTATCCAACTCCAACAATCTTCAAGAACCGAAAGAACTTAGCTTCCATTTTCCCCTTTTCCTACAGAGAATGTTGCTTGCCACAAGAAGAAAGCACCTTAGCTTTTCTGAATCATCAAGTTATAAAACCTAAAAGATTTCACAATTAGAAAACAAAAAGGTGCTTAGATTAAAAATCTCATCTACACAACTCAATCGCACAAGAAAAAAGGGTATTTTTCCCATTTGTTTCACTGCAAACAATCCCAAGAAGACACTGATTCAAGTGATTAGCTACACAGGAAATACGTCGAACAGTTTATGTGCAATAGTACGAGACAATAGAAACGTGAATAAATCTCCAAGTAACCACCATTTACATGAACACTGTGAATGAAGAAGTAAGGAAGAAAAAGATATACCTTTATTATTTTCCGGCGAAAAGAAAAAAGGACCAATGTGACGGTGCTGTCTCTTCGCCGGCGGATCCAGATCACACTCCCAACTCCGGCCTAAAAACCTTCTCTTGATTTTGTTTTTCTTTGAGAAACAGACAAAATGGTTGACGTTTTTTATTCGTGAAAAGACGATAAAAAACGACACGGTGTTTTATTTTCCCACATTGGGTCTCCTCACAAAGCCCATTGGGTCTCTTCTCAAAGCCCATTGGGTCTCCTCATAAAGCCCATTGGGCCTCTCTCTCTCTCTCGCTTTTTGAAGTTGCGAGCTTCTAAGAATCTCTCGACAATGGCGGATTCGATATTCAGAAAGCTAAGAGATGGTGGAGAAGAAGGCGAACTCGCGCCAGCTTTAACCATAGAAGAAACTGTTGCTTCTCCTTTCGGCCTCGATGTCTCCGGCTATCTTCTCGCGAATCTATCTTCATCGATTTTGGCTGGAAAATCCAAGTCGCAGTACACTCTTAAAACCCTATTTCTCTACTAAACTCGATCTCGAATTTTCTTCACTATCAAGCTCTTTTCTTACTTTTCGATGCAGGGGTCTCGTGTTAATCACTTTCTCTCGAAGCCCTTCATTCTATTTGCAGTTTTTGAAGCAAAAAGGAATCACTGTCTCTTCATCTTCTAAATGGTGAATTTGATTTTTTTTTTGTTTCCTTTAGGTTTTTTTGTGGCATAACTTTTGATACTGATTGGTTTTTGCTTTGAAGGATTCGTGTTTTGGATTGTTACACTGATCCACTAGGTTGGTTTGATGAACCTTCAAGTGGTTCTAATAAAGGTTCAAGTTTAATTAAGTTACACAAGTGTGTGAGTGCCTTGAAAAGGCTTTTTTCTTCGATCATTGAAGCGGGAAGAGGTTAATTCTTTTACATTGGTTTTTTTTTTTTTAAATTGGATCTTCATGTAAAGTATTATATGAGAGAGATTAAAGGTGATTACTTTGATGCAGAATTGGTTGGAGATGGGAAGACACGTTTCTGCGTTGCTATGGATTCAGTAAGCAAACTGTTCATGTTTTGAGATTTAGACATCAACTATCGAGAAGAGAAGTGGTCTTTTATATATTTAAACTTTGAATCAGGTGAATGAGCTGCTAAGACATTCATCAATGACATTAGTTTCTGGTCTTCTAACAGATCTTCGAAGCCACGGTAGCCTTCGCATTCTTACTCTTTGCTAGATGAACCTGATCACTGTTTTATTAGTTTTATTTCTTTTAAGGCTTAACAACAAAGGTTGAATTTTGTTGGTGCAGCACAAGTTTCCGGTTTATTTTGGTCATTAAACACTGACCTTCATCAAGAAAAGGTCACAAATGCGCTTGAATATGTATCTACGATGAAAGCCAACTTGGAACCTTTATGTCCATCTTCAGATGGGAAAAAGAATGCTTTAGAAAGCCTCTTCTCTGTTCATCAGGATTTTGGTAAAGGACGGATCCATGTCCGGTTTAAGCTTAGAAAGGGACGCGTCAGAGTAATGGTGAGTACTCTTCTTATGATATCATCTCTTTAAGGTTACTTCGTATGATATCATCTCTTTAAGGTTACTTCTTTAACACCGATGTAACTACTCTTTTACCTACAGTCCGAAGAGTATCATGTTGATCATATGGGAATAAACTTTTCACCCATTTCCTCGGCGGATACTGTTATTGCAACCACTAAAAGCCTTTTGCCTAAGGCAAGTTATACTATATTTCTTTTTAATCTCTTGCGATGTGATCTTCTTGTTGCTTTATGTCCTCAGATTGTTGATTTTTATGGCTTAGGTTCAATTCAATCTACAGTTATCTGAGAAAGAACGGGTCGATAAAGAAAAAGTTGTACTTCCTTTTGAGCACCAAGGTGAGTTGTACATCAGATTTGGTCTAAAGCCAGAGAATTTAAGCTCGTTAACGTCTGGAATTCTCGATGAACATTTGTGTTCTGTTCTTCAGGTAATGGAAAATCGATAGATATCTATGACGGGCGGAGATCTCTTCTTGATGGCAAGATTGAGGCAGCACCATTGTCTTCAGGGGAGTTACAGACGGATGTAGTTTCATCGGGTAAGGATGGGGAGATTATATATTTCAGAGATTCAGACGATGAGAATCCAGATTCTGATGAGGATCCTGATGATGATTTGGACATTTAAGGTTCTTAAAAACTTAAATCTTGTAAGACCAGGGAGAATCCATGCTTTGTACACTCAGTCTGCTAAGGAACCAACCTCCCCATTTCCCGTAATTGCACATCATTTGTTTCTTTCCCTTATTGAAATCAAATGAGGAAACCAAAAAATAGACAAATCTAAATTGCCAAACAAAAGTTGTATTGTTCTAGTTTATCCACCATTGTTGTTCTGTTCTTGTTTCTAAAGCTTTTGGTAAAGATCATTGCCAACATAACTCACCTTACGTTCCAATTGTCATGGACGGTTCAGTTGACACGCCCTTTGATGAACTAACATAAATGCTTTGAAGCGATGAAAGAAAAGATTATTAGTTTTTGTTTTTGGTGTAAAGAAAGCATAGGGAGAACATTTTGGAATGGCTCTACGTTGATATCCTCGTAAATAAGGACCGTTGGATCAAAGTTTGAACAATATGCACGGTTCAAGTTTCAACCTTTATATATGGAGTACTTATATATGACCTAATAAGAAAAAAAACTGCAGAATATGAAATTATAAAACACTAAATTTTGCATAGAAACTTG